CTTCATCTCCGACAGAATGGTCTTCAGCTGAGCCTGCACCTCCAGTGATCGCTCCATGCCGAGCGCGTTCTCCACCATGGCCACGAGCTGCGCCTTCTCCGCACCCTCGGGCGCCGCGCCAAACACACCGCTGCCCTTGGCCGCAAATACGGCCCCCATGGCCTGCGCCCGCATGTTCCGCTGCGCCTCTGTCCCGACGTCGACCTGGTCCATATCGAGCGACAGCAGATACGTCGTGGCGACGGCCTTGTCAGCCTCAGACGCCGCCGTCGACGAGGACGAGCCCGAGCCCGGTACCGCAGCCCGCACCACGTCCCGCACGCACTCGTACCAGACCTCGCGCTTCATGACGGCGAACTGCGCGCTGCCAAGGTACGGCGTGAGCAGCCTCATCATCTTGTCGAGCACGCCGTACGAGTCCTGCTGAAGCTGCGGGCGGTTGTACCCGCGCGCCACGGCCTCGAGCCCGTTTTTGGCCGTCGCCGTGGCCTTGTCCTCGCTGTCGACGTCCATCCTGTCCTCGTCGTTGACCTCGTCGAGGAACGGCTTCACAATGGCGAAAATGTCGTCGAGGAGATCCAGGTCGTCGCGCACCTCGGCAAACTTCCACAGGTACGTGAACGCGTGCACGCGGTACGCGCCGTTGTTGCGCTTGGCCTCGCGCAGCGCAATCTTCTTCATCTGCGCCGCGATGCCGGCGTCGTCTTGCCAGAGCTTCTTGCCGTGGCCCACAAAGACGGGGAACGACGCGAGAAGCTTCTCCTTGTGGGTGAATGTCTGAGCGCAAGCGCCTTGTCGAGGACGGGCCAGATGAGCTTCAGATTGGCGTCGCTGATCTGGCCGCTGGCATCACTCGCCGCGACAACGTCCTTGATCATGGACGCAATCGTAAACGCGCCGCTGTGCTGAAGCACCCACCGCGGTGCGTCAAGGCCACGCCTAACAAAGGCCACAATCTCCTCGACATAGCGCGCTACCGTACGGGAGCTACCGGCGTGCGCATCCCACACCTTCGTGAACGCCTTCTTGACCCACTCGTCCGTGTCGTGAGACGCCATGAACGCAAACGGCAAGAGACGGCTCTCGAGCTCGTTGAAAATGTCGGGCGACGCCGTCGACAGCGCGAGAATGACGTTGGAGACCTTTTGACGACGGCCGTCGTCCTCGGCGTCAAAATACAGATCGATGGCCTTGGTGATGAATCGGTCCTTGGATGCCTCGGGAGCGACGCGCATCAGATAGGCAGATGCCTTGGCATACGTCTGGCTGACCTCGTCGTTGCGGTCGAGCACCTGCTTCTCCATCATCTGCAGGAACTTGGAAGCATATGGTTCGATTTCATGCCGGTGGCGCATGACCATATCTGTGAACAGTCGGGCGCAGCCAATTTTGGTCTGCATGCCAATGGCGGACTTGACCGTCTGCTCAATGTTGGGCACAAGTTGTGTCATGATTTCGTCGTCGACCTGGCGCAGGCAGTTGTCGATGGCTTCAGTAATGGGCGACGTGTTGACAAAGGAAGCACGCATCTTGTCGAGCTGTCCACGTTTGTCCTCTTGCAGTCGCTGGTACGCAAAGTTGATCTGCTCCGGTTCGACGGTGCTGTGCAGGTTGAGCAGGTGGGGGATGATCTCGGCGACGTACGGCTTCAGCGCCTTGCCCCCTTTCTTGGTCACGTCCATGATCGTCTTGAGGGAGAACCCCTTGACCTCGTCGACGTTGCTCTCGAGGCCGCTCGACGAAAGCAGGAACCGCAGAGCTTGACCTAGCATGACCCGTGTCGTGTCGACAGAGCTACCATCCTCGAGCAGGCGAACGATGGTGCTGGTGAGGCCCATGCAAAGCTTGAGCGCGACCTCACGGACAGACGACTTGACATCGTCGAGGACCTTGAGGGCTGCAGTCCAGATTTGCTCATAGTATTGCTCATACTTCTTGAAAGGCTGACCGCCGATGATCTCAGAAATGGCAGCCGCGCTGGCCTGTCGAGTTCGCCACTCCTTACCGAGGACGCACTTCAGAAGATCAGACATGATAGCATCAAAGTGTTTCTGGATAGCCTCGTTCGGATCCTTGACCAAAGACTTCCAAATCTCCTCCATGGACGCGCGAACATTCTTGTTGGGATCGAACCGGTAGCGATAGAGCTTGGGATAAATGCGAGGGTCCACGGTGGCATCAGTGAGGATGCTACTGAGGCCGAAGCGCCCGAAAGCCGATCGCGTAGACCACGTCGCAGCATTGCTCGCGAGGCTCATGAACTTGTAAACGAGACTCTGGTCGCCGACCTCGTTGGCGAGCGCGATGATGTCTTTATAAGACGTGACTGACTTTCCTTCGCCTGTGGGAAGGGCGCCAGGCTCGAACAGCTCCGTGTCGCCTTCAACCTTAAGCTGGGTGCTGTCTCCGGTGAACGCGTTGACAAGGTCCTTAACAAGATCCTCGCGCTCCTGCGCATTGCCGCGGTCGTGCAACAGAGACAAGCCGCGCGACGCAGTCTCTTGGACGAGCTCGTCACGCGCATTTAGCAGACGCATAAACGCAGCTTGCGCCTGGCGCGAGTACTGACGAACGAGGGGCAGATGTCCCAGGTGCTGGATAATGCAGAAGAGCCAGATGCCCGCGGCCTTGAGGCGGAAGGGAGCCGTGTCGCGACAGTCCTTGAAGAGCTTCATGAGAACCAGCTGTAGGCGTTTCTCACGCGCACCAATCTGCCACGTGCCCGGCTTGTGATCAACATCCATCTGTAGCGAGACTGCTTCCGAATCCCAGCCACCGACGGCGGCAGTGATGGCCTCGCCAATGGTAAAATGAATCTCCGTCTCTCGCTTCGTCTCGAGGCTGTAGAGAACACGAAGAATATTGTCTAGATTATCGGTCTTCTTGTCGGGAAAGGCGAGACCCGAGTCGCCCGGAACGGATTCACGGGGATTCGAGCGCTCGGGGGAGCGCTCCGAACGGGGTACATCAGCCCACACCTCGTCTTCCAGCCCGAGCGCCAGGCGGCCGAGCGCAAAGATCGCCTTCTCGTTGCCACTTTCGGCCTTGGCACGCAGCGCCTCAATGACAGAGTCGGGGCTCAAGTCGGAACCCGAAACGGGGACGTCCTGACGGGCGGACCACAACTGCCCAAAAGCTTC